GATCTCTCTGAAATTAACACTGCTTAATTTTTCATAGATTCAAATAGCGTGATGTATTTAAGAAATCAGTGTCTAATTTGTTGGGTATGCCAGGTCATTAATATATAAATATTGCATGTAGTTGAGTGTAACATTGAAAATTTTCACCCCAAGAAAACCATTGTCAACCGAGGCGTAGCCGAGGGGTAAAAATTTTCAATGTTACACTCAACTACATTCAATATTTATTATATTATACTAAATGTTTTATACATAAACATATAACAGTGAACCTTGAGCGCATGAATTCTGCGCAGTCACTATTTTTTTTGGAATATCACCCGTCGTCAAGCAATGTTGACTGTTGCTACGCTGGAGGGCGTGGCTTCATTATTCAGCGGTTAATAGTGTTTTTAACAAATGTTTCTGGACGAATCAGATTCAACTAATTTACATGAAAGTATAATATCTAAAGTTAGAAACGTGGGATAATATGCAGAATGGTGAAGCCCATTATGCATAAATATCCCACGTTTCCAACTGTCGTGAATGATCTGGCATACCCAACAAACTAGAGAGTGATTTCTTATATTTACATTTATGTGTGAAATAAAAATGTGAATAGAAATAAAAAAAATGTTGTGTAAAAGAATTATACACGAGGCATTCCATGTTAATTTCCGTAGTCCCCGCCAACTGACGTCTGACGCATTGACAGTGGAAATTGACAAGCATATTAGGCAACTGACCTTTCACTTTGCAAAAATACATTCAGTTGTAAATATCGTGAAATTTACAAACTTAACTTTCAAAGAGTTATCACGCAGAAAACAGTTGGAAATGTAAATATTTTGTGATCAAAATAAATGCAGTTTCATTTATTCTTTGATTGTGTTTTATTTCTTATATCTCATATTAAAGAAATTTTTAAGCTCTCTTGATGTAAGAATTCTATTATATTCTATTTTATCGCCCGTCTAGGTCAACATCGCCCCATTTCATGCATTATACGTTACAGCAATAACTCCCATGGTTATACAGGATTAGTGAATGTTAACGCACCATGTTTGAAATACCATAGCTGTGATATTGCTTACTACTGGTGTCAGGGAACTAAACATGATTCTTATGTAGAATGTCAGGTATATGGCAACATGCTTTATAGTATTAGAAAATATTCGCTATTTGACAAAGATGATTGATTGCTGCTTTAAAATTTCTTAATCGAACTTCCAGTTTATAATACATATTGTAAACTTTATAAGGAACCATGGTTTATAGTAAAAGAAAATATTCTCTTATTAACAAAGTTGTTTCATTGCTTTAAGTTTCTTAATCAATCTCCCTGTAAATTTATGGTGATTAATGGAAAATCTTAACTTTACCCTCAGAATTACGTCAAATGGACGAAAGCAAACCATAATGTATCAGCGACAGTGATTCCGATCCAGCAGAGAAAAGCTAACGGTACTGTGTATATAGGTGCGATGGTCAGTCGTGATGGTCAGTCTCCCGGAATAGACTGGGATATATGTCAAGGTGAGTAAAACAAGCCTAATTTAACGACATTCACATTTTTAAAACAAATTATCAACAAATACTTTCTAATAAAATACAACTAAAATAATTTGCCTGTACTTGTATATTTACATACAGTATACGATCTGGGAAACAACAATTAAAATGAAATTTCTATTTTAAATTGAAGCTTAAAATAATATATATTTACTGTTTTATATGAATCACTGTTAATGAGCATGTGGTTGACATTATCCACTTGCATCCTCCTTTTATGCAGAGAGCACTGAAAATACAAGATCTTCTTCCAAGTCTTACATCTTCGTCATCATTCCTCTCGTTGTCGTCTTTGCAGTTCTAACATTACTTGGGACCTTAATCAGAAGGTACTAATGTTTTATGTAGTATTTGAAAAGTTTTTAAATTTTCATTCATACTTAAATGAAATATGGAGATAACGAACAGTAATCAAGCTCAAAAGTCCATTGAATCAATAAAAATCGGAAGCAGAGCAAACACAGACCTCTAAAATACATCAGAGGTGGGATAAGGTGCCATGGAGGAGTGAGCATCCCCTGTCGACCGGTCACAATCGCCGTGTGCTCATTGTCATGATCGGGAAAAAGGAAAAAATCCATAGACAATTCAATGTTTAAATAATGGCCTAATAATTAAAATAAAAAACGTCAGTCAGCATTCGACTTGATGATAGATTGTATTTGCTGACAAGGTCATTATACCGACCACAGAACTTGCGAAATACAAAGAAGTTCCCAAATATACTGACATTTCATCATCTTGTATATAATTCAATTATGAAGAAAACAATCTTTTAAAAAATCGCATTATTGAAAATATCAGTAACAAAAATGTGAAAAATGTACTTCCTGCTTTACCTGATTTAGGCGAGGTGGTCTCAAGAAGAAATTATGGAACGTCTTAAAGAAATGCTCTATGGTAAGAAAATGCTTATTTTATCATTATTAATGAAAAGTTTAGTAAGGAGGCTAACATTTTTAAATATCTTTCTGTTACAATCAACAGAGAAATGTAACATCTGTAAGCAACAACCAGGGAGATCCCCCAACGCTGAAGGGAACCCCCAATACTTTGCAAATGTCTGATGTACAACCTCAGTCTGTGGAGGGTTACTATGAACCTGTATGTAGCAATACCTCCCATTCTGTTCTGTCTACAGACACATCCAATCACAATCTGAACGCTGAGTCTTCTACACCAATATCAGATTTGGATCGCTCGTCTCAAACATCACCGAAAAGTGTTTGCTCAATCATACCAAAAGAAAAATTATTCAATGGTAGGCACACAGAGGAAGCTACTTATATGGATGTTAATGCCGTATGTCCCATCAGTGATGATTCTGAAACAGATAAGAAAACCATCAGAGATGACTACGGCAAGGTTGACGACTTTGATGGGTTTTTGGGAAACAGTGAAACTTTTGAGAAAGAAATTGAAATTTTTTTTGAAGACACTAATAATGCTCAGAAGATAAACAATCTGGATTATACACGAAGTATGGAAGGTTCTGAAGAATTTTCCCCTAATGTGTCCATGTGTTCCAACAGAAGTATATATTCTGAAGAATCAAACAGTAAACAACAAACCGCAGAAGAAGATAACAAAATTCCGCACGTGCTTCCTTCTGAAAGAAAATTTGAATGTGAAGACATACCAATGGTAAATCAGAATGAAAACAAAGAAGAGGATTTTAAATTTTCCACCTGTGTTAAACCGATTTGTATGGACAACGGAGATCCTGACTCAAAAGACCCAGATGATGATCAAAATGCAGCTAAAGACCTTACCTGTAGAAATAATAGAAAGTCTGATATGTTGTTACAAAACGATTCAAAACTATCTGAAGAAGAATGCAATGATTATGTCAAAGCAGAGGGACCAATCAGAAATGACTTTATTACTGGCGAGTTTGACTACGTGGTCATGGAAATAGAAACACATCCAAGTTCTCTTCATTAACACTGATTTGTAAGCCGTGCTAAAAGTCATTCGTTTAAAGTCAGCAGTTTGCAAATGTTATATTCATAGTATAATGACCTTATTTGCATATAAAGCCTATCCTAGGGTTGCATTTGGCTGACATGTTTCATACCGATTGTTGGGGCATTGTTTTCCTAATAATTTTGACTACGGATTACTCCGTTCACTCAATACAGAGGGGTGCTTACTCATTTCAGGCACCTGATCCCAACTCTTTTTCCAGAGATTTTTGGTTTTCTCTGTATGTTTTGTATTGTTTACATGAATTATGAGATTGATCATGGTTCGTTATCTTCACTTTTTCATCCAAATTTAAAGTGTTTGAGTCATAAACAATGATAATAAAGCATAATTTGCTATAAATAAACAAAACAAAATGTTGAAAGGCATTGTTTTTATTTGAAAGTCACTTTTTTCCACATAAGAAGAGTATTTGTAAAAAAAATCTTGATCAATGATATTTTTGATATGGATTCTACATAAAAAAGTATTCTGCAATGATTTCAATAAAAATATTTAGATATGGCTTTCAGAAAATAAATTAACACATGCATATTTAAAAACAATTCGATTCTTTTTTTATTATTATTTAAAGCGGAGAATATTCTGAAAAAAATTCTGTTCTCCATTTTCTGATAAAGCAGAGAATACTCTTTTTAAAAAAACTTTTAAATAATTGAAAATAAAACTCTTAAGTAAACATGTAGTTTCTTGCAATTATTTCTATCTGTATTTTAGATGGTATTTTGTGATGTTTAAACATGAAATTAATTTTTTTGAAACGTAGTTAAGTTATAATTTCATGTACTGTTAGATTTTCAAATAAAAAATACAATTACTTTTTTTCGTTAGGTTGATTTTCATAGTTTTTTTTAGTTACTTTTCAAAATTACTTTCAAAATTTAATCATGATTATTTGGTTTACGAAAATTTTTAATTCGACTTTTGGACATACGATTACCATCTGTTTCCTTGTGGCTTAAAATTATTCATTTATTTTTTTAAAAAACAAATTTAAACAAGCTAAATGATAAAGAACAGATAAATCAGTAAATTGTAGGGAACGATAAGAAAAAATTAAAAATAATTAATTTCCGTAATTAAATTTTACTTTTGATTAAAACGGTGAATTGTTTCCTACACCATAAATATCAAATTATAGCAAAAATTTACATATATTTCTGCATTTCATATACCTAAAGATCTTTTTAACAACATTTTTAACAATTGTGTAGAGAAAAGTTTTCATAATATAATCAACTTAAAGTACTCCGTAAGCAAAATTAAAGATATTGATAACACATTATTCTGTGTAAATATGTACATGTATTCAATTACAAATGTTACAAAAAAAATTAATGACTTACACGTATTTTATGTTGTCATTCATTTACGAATTAGAAAGTAAGAAATAAAGCTGATATGTGCATTTTGGTGCTAAAAATATAATTTGTATGCATGAACTTTTTACAAAGTGTTATGTGCATTATTGATATACATTTAGAAACAGTTCAATTATTGGCTTTTAAGACAGTAAAATTATTGAGCTATTAATAACACATTGATACAAGATAATACAATGAAATAACATATCAAATGAACAGAAAACAAAAACATTTAGTAAAGTTCCTATAGGAAAATAAATTTACAAACTTCACATTAAAGACATAGTTCATATCTGCCGAGAAGGCTGGGTCTCAACCCTCTGCTCCACGCCAAACCTGAAGTAACAATTTCCGGTGACGTCCCATGTTACTTCTTTTCCTTTGATGGTGCATCCTCCGAATCCATTGTTTTTGCAATACCACCTCATGATTTCCACGAATGGTGCATCAATAGACTGCACCAACCGGTCGTCGATTCTGTTGTGGATGGCAACATGGACGGTTCCGTAAATAGTGGTCTTCATCTGGAAGGCTGCGTTATATTCCTTCTCTGTGACAGAGATGTTCGCCGTCACCTTCTTCTGTTTAGGGACCCTAACTTTGCAGTCGGATCCCCAAGTCATCGTTTCCTCTTTGGACTCTTCTGAATTGTCGGTGATGTTTACGGAGTATCCGAACGCTGTGGTGAGGTTAGCTACGTCCCCTGGCACGGCCAGCTTGAGTCCGACGTTGACCCCTTTGGTGTACCCCTTGGTGACGTAAGCTTTGCAGGTGCTCTTAGTGCTTCTTTGCATGGAGATGGAATGTTCCTGGTCTTCATTTGTTCCGTTCACGTAGGTTGATCTGTAGATCTCCTGCGCCGTAGGGAGATCTTCCATTCCCACGCTACCAAATGTTGGTTTTGATGCCACGAATTTGGTCCTCGACCAATCAATATCAATTCGAGCCTCTTTATAATCGAGTTTCTTTTCGCTTACTCTTGAAAAGGTATTCCATGCATAATCCTTGACAATGGTTTCTAAATCTGTTAGTTCGGCCATAATGGTTCAGTTTTTTATATGTAGTTCCAAGATTATCTTGATGAAGTTAACTTCTGCAAATATATTTTCATTTTATAACAACAACAAAAAAAGTTGGAAAAAACGTTATTCTTTTTATTTGAGAATGAACAAGAATGGAAACATTGAACATTTCAAAGTTGTTTAATAATCTCGTGAACTTTTCTTTAAGATTACAGCAAATCATATCCTTTTCCATGCAATGAAAGCAAACGTTCAAAATGAAAAGATAAATAAGTAAATAAATGAATAAATAAATAAAATGGACAAATACTAGTAGTGCCTCGACGGTCAGTTTATTTAAAATTTTATTTTACTTCGTCAATTTCTATATCTCTTTTTAATTTTTAATCTAATAAAAAAAGTAAGACGACGTTAAGAAAAAATAATGAAAAACTTAAGAAAAAATATGGATTAACTTACCCTGTATGCAAAATTTTCATTACTGCATAAACTTCTTATTAAGCCAGGGGTATATATACACCCGATATAAATTCGAAAGGAAATTCCAAAACAATTTCGAAAAAACCATCCATAATGTATTTTATTTTTAAAATACACGTAATTTTATCAAACCGGGTATGTTTGCATTTTATAGATTTGTGTCATCATTTTCTTAATATATCGTTTTATTTTTCCCCCGATAGTTTTTAGTGTATGTCTACAAACTTTTCAGTAGTAAATAGTAACACCAAAATGCTCACGCATGAGCTGTTGATTCCTTTCATTTTCTTATGTTTATGAATACCACATAACATTTGGAATAAATCCCAAAATCAATCGAAAGATCATTATCAACGTTCTTTATCCTAGTAAGGGATTCCTGATTTGTAAGGGGTGAAGATAGTTTGATTCTAAAATAAAAATTCAACGTCTAGTTCCAGACGTTTAATTGATTCACTTATGATAAATGTTAAATAAAAGTTTTTCTTAGATGTAGTAATGCTTGTACCTTCAAATTAAAAAAAAAAACATGGAATATGGCAACAAAATTACCTGTACAAATAAAAAAAAATATCAAAGTATTCCATAGGTGTTTTAAATTATAAATCAATAGAGTTGAATTTAAAATGGGCATATATTTGATGGGTATATATTTATGTTTCTTATATGAGATCACTAATAGCATTACCACATTATAATGACCAATAATACACGGTTTATCGATTTAGTACTTTTTCATTTGACCTACAAATAATTCAACTGCCTGGCTTAAAATAGCACTCATTCAATGTTCCAAATGTCTTGAAATAGTTCAGGAATTTAACAATCTAAAATTGAAAAAAAGTAGTGCAATTTATATAGTTCGGTTCATCGATACAGAACAGTTAACAGATCTTCAATCAGAATCACATTCCTGTTATATTGAGCTGGTCATAAAATCTGGCTGTACAAAATATCCACCAGGTAAATTTTAGAAACAAACGTTTTGGAATGGGTATAAGATTCATAGAAAGCCACGATAATGATCTGTAAAATTTGGTTAATTCTCAGGATATATATAGTTCCGCCCTACTCTGAAGTCAGACATTCAAAAAAGTAACATTACTGACTTTTGGACCCGAAATTACTTCGATTCGTGTGATTTAAACAAGAGAGAAATAAACATGGAAAATTTGAACTTGATTTCATTAATACCTTTATTGCATACTGTAGATTCTTTATTTTTTGCGAATACTTAATAATAATTCGCGAGTGGAGATTGATCAAGAGATTTTATATGGATTTCCATACAATAAAAATAAAAGCGAGTAAATCAATTTTGCGAGTGGTGCTTCTCGAGAAATTACGCCATAATTAATACCTCGCGTATATTTAAGAATCTACAGTAGTTGTATAGATAGAATAGCAAGCTTTACTGTATGTCGTACTGTTTTGAAGCAATTAATAATTATCTTTTCCGGCTTTTTTTTTTTTTTTTTTTTTTTTTTTTTTTACATTTTAATATCGACATGAATTAAAATCAGTTTACTTTTCGAAATGAATTTGTTGTCCCTCTCATAATCTTATACTGTCTCTTCGAGACGAGTTCTCTTTCCGACGCTATGTTAATTGGACATACTGCAAATCAGACATACAACGTATACAATTTGGTTTTCTTTGCATTAAAAATAGTAAGGTTTCTAGTTCATACTGTGCTATTTTACCAATAGAACGTTTCAATAATGAAAATTTCATAACTTTTCTTTTAGACTAGTGCAAGAATCAATTCAGTCGAAACAGTCTACGAATATAGCTGTTTATTCATTTCAACAATTACATATACGTCAATCACAAAATCATTTTCCAAAACTTACGGGGTATATACGAAATAACAGATGTAACGTTAAATACCTATTAATATATTTGATGTCGTTCTCAATGATTTATTACGAAATGTCCTTTTGAATATATTCTTTTGATAAAATGAGAATGTCCAAGCCAAGCAAAGAATGAAACTATTTCAAAATTATATTCACTTTTCATATATACATTATGTTCATGGTTTTCCCCAAATCAAATATTTATAACATTGAAATCATTCTTATATATTTTATTGTTTGATTTTATTCACCTTAGTATGTTATTTGAAATGTTTCGGTATAGCCTACATTTATATTGTGTTTTTCAGTTTCTCTGCGAAAGACTTAAGGCTGAAACAGAGACCCCCAACTGTTCCACAATGATGTTAATAAATTAATAAAATGGCCGCGAGTTCCACTCATACCCATGACGTGTTTTGTGAGGTTACACATGTTGAATATTCAATCAAAAGTATTTGAAAAAGTCCTTTCTTGTCAAAAATACACTTCAGAGACTTTTTATAAATACATGTAGATGTATTAAAACGATCTTGATAAAACTCTTCTCTTAATGTTTGGTTTGCAATATAAGCCTGGTTTGTGTTTTATAAGTACAGCAGAACATATACTAATTTTTTTGGCTTTGATTTTTAACAAATATATTCAGTATTTATGTTGCAGTCGATCGATATTTTATTCAAAACTCTTTTGAAAAATCTGGTCTGTGCTTTAAATTTTAGATTTTAGAATTCCTAAACTATTTTAAGGACATGAGGGTGTGATTCATTTCTATTTAAATGTATTTTCAGAAAACATTACATATTTTATATTTCTTTGTTTTCTCCTTCTGAGAAAATTGTACTACTCACACATTTTACTTCTCTCACAAAAAATTATTAAAGGTATAAAAGGGATAAAAGCAATTATTACACTTAATTATTATACATATAATCAAATATCAAATCAGAGTTTATGACACAGATTGCCAATTCCTCTAACAAACAAAAGGTTAAGTGGTTGTCCTTATTTTTATTTATTTATGTTTTTTTAATTTATTTTATTTATTTTTTATTTTTACAAACATTTCACCATAAAGAATTTTCCGTTCTTTCCGCCGTTAATCGAGAGTTTCACAGATATCTGTTATATTTACTGAAAGATAGCATCATTTTGTCCATCGATTCTAACTTTGAGTGATAGAAATTTATTGTACGAAAATATTTTTACATATTTCCTCCTTTGACTTTCATCAAAGTTCTACGTCAATGACGAAAAACATTCAAATTTCAGAATTGAGTCATGCGTTTTTAGCAACAGAAAAGCATGAGAAAAGAGATGCTGCACTAAATACTTGTGAATATTGAATTTCTTTGAGGATTTAATATTAGTTCTGATGAAATATGGAGATAACGAATAGTAATCAAACAGAAATCAAACTCAAAAGTACATTGAAACAATACATATTGGGAGTAGAGCTCTAAAACCAAAGTGGTGGGATCAGGTGCCTTGGAGGAGTAAGCATCCCCTGTCGATCGATTACACGCGCCATGTGCTCCTTGTCATTGTCGGGCAACCGAAAAATCATTGGACAATTCAGAGTGAAAATAATGGCTTGACGATTTGTATGAAAAACGTTAGTCAACATTCTATTTCATGATATATTGTATTTACTGACCATGTCATTGTATCGACGGTAAAATTTGCAAAATGTTGACTTTGAACGAGCTTGTTGATAATCTTGTTTCAACAACTTATTTGTCAATAGCTTGCCTACTTTCAGAAATTGATCTATGTAGGGTACGCTATTGTGTATCGAATCAACTGGGAGACATAAACTTCATATGCAGGTGATAATGGTATATTGCTACATAAATAAGGGAAGTTGATGATAGAAAAGTTGCAGTCATCAAGTTTATGATAAAGTTTTGTTGTTGACAATAACGTCTTTTTCCAGAAAAAAATTCCAAAAATGAAACAGATGTCAGACTTTGTGGTATCTTTCATTTCGAACTGAAAGAGATATTTCTAATCAAAGTATGAATGAAAATGAATATTGTTAATTAATAAAACGCCGTCGATATACATGTATCTAAATGTTGAATTGATGGCCAAACCAAGTGACTTTTTCTTTTCATGTATAAGTTTTTTGAAAACTTCATATGAATTCAAAAATAGGTATGTTCATGACGGGGTGCAATTAAAACCCATGGGAATTCCAAGAGATTGTTGGAAGACTTGATCTCCAAAATAAAACTACGTAGATATTGTCAATCAGAAACTTAATCATATTTTTAATATCAGCTATGGGGTACCTGTGAGTACAATCAGAATATTGTTTAAGTAAGTATCCCCTGTCGGTCGATCACAACTGCAGTGTGCTCCTGGTCTTGATCGTGATCGGGTAAACGGATAAATCTGTAGACGATTGTACACACAAGTACTCCAAAGTTCATACCGGTATTAAAAAGATGCTCGAGTTTCTGATTGACAATATCTATATAGTTTTTGGAGACTAAGCTTCAAACAATATGTCGGAATTCCCATGGGTACTAATTGCACCCCGTCATGAGCAGAACTGTTTTTGTATCCATATGAAGCAGAATTTATCTCAAAACTTTTACATGAAAAGAAAAGTATCTTGCTGTGGCCTTCCATTCATTTGATATATTCTTTTGAACTTGAAAGAAAAGACATGCAGAATCTGACACATCTGTTTCATATTTGGATAATTAAAAAAAAAGACGT